TCCAGTGCGCCACCTCTGGCCAGGCCACCCTGGAGGAGCAAGTGGCCTATGGCGCTGCTAGGATCCAGGTACCTCCACACGTGTAAACGGGGGTGTCTTAGGCCTAAACCAGAACAACTGGGGTTTAGGGCATGGACTGCTTATAGTGGAGTAGAAGGCTGTGGGGTGGAGAGAGAGGAAAATACTGCAGCCTAAGTGCGAAGAAAGAAATTTGACTTTAACTTAATAAAGTTTATGGAAGAAGAGGGATGACAGGGATGCAGGTAATTTTTTATTTTATGTATCTTACACACACACACACACACACACACACACACACACTCACCATTACTTCCTTTACACAACACACTTTCCTCTCTGGAGTCTTAAAATTAAAAATTATATGTTAACTCGATCTAAGACAATGAAGATTTCTAGAATTTGGTATAGCGGACAGCAATCATTACAGTGAAAGTCCCTTCAGTATTTTACTTCAGTTGAAGAGCTCGAGCTAAGGAGAGGCCAAAGAAGCAGCTCTCCTGCATAGACATTCCAAGTGGTTGGCACGGCTCCTTCAACCTGTGCCACAGATACCCAGCAAAGGCACAGCAATGTCTCGGAGTAACAGGTGAGGACTCGGTGGTACAAGCAGAGGGATTTCACCTGTGATTGTCTTTTCCTTAAGGGGACCTAAAGCAGATGTGAAACAATGTTGATGACTGCTAATGCTGTGGAATGGACACAAAGGATCTGGTACTAGTTTTTTTTTTAATTTTTTAAAATTTTATGTATTTGGTACAGGGTCTCACTCTACAGCTCAGACCCGTAGTGACCCTCCTGTTTCAGCCTCCCCAGCACTAGGATTACAGGTGTGCTGCGCCACACCCAGTGTCAGTGGCTGGCACAGTGTGCTCAGGGTTCCGGGGCTGGCACGTGGTCCTGGGGATTGAACCTGGGTCCTTTCCCTTGCCAGGCAGGCACTTAGAACACTGAGTTATCTCTCCAGCTCTGTACCAGCTTCTAAAACTTAAATTTTTTGTAGAATTTTTCAAAGAAAGCAAGATAATAAACTCTGTATCTCTGTCCTTCATCCTTATCAGGCTATCCTTGACCAAAACCGAGCCAGGCTCTCTAGACTGGGGTCTGACCCTGGACTCGGGCCTCAGCCCGCTTACTGCAGCTTTAGCTCAGGTTTCCTCAGCGGATGAGTTGATCTCTGGCTCTGAGTGCTGGCTGATTCGTGAGTCATTCTTTACCCAAATAACGTCTGTGAAATGTTCTTTGTGTAAAGTTTTCTTTGAACAAATAAGAAACATATATTTGATCTGCACCCCTCCTTCCTCCTACACCTCCAAATCTCTTGGAGGTCCCTGGGTGATGGAGTGTCTGTTATTCCATGGTAACTCTTGGTGAGTTTCTAGGTGGGGCTGGTCACCAGAAGGGCCAACCATGATTAGAAGCCTGACACTCACAGCCCTAATTAATTCTCCAGGTACTGGACAGAGGCCGGAGTCTGAATTAGCAGTCAGGCATGCTTGTCTAATGAAGGGCCATAGGCAGTCCTGAGCTACGGTGTCTGGAGAAGTTCCAGGCTGCGGTACACACAAGGGTGGCGTGCTAGCAAGGATGTGGAAGCACGGCACCCCTTCCCCAAACACTGCCCTATGTGTCTCCAGGGCCTCGGTGCTCCTGAGCTGTGGTATTTGATAATAAATGAATAGTAGTAATCAAAATGCATTCCTGAGTTCTCCGAGCCACGCTAGCAAATAACCCAACCCAAGATGCGGGTCACAGCAAACTCAGATTTGTGGCCAATTTGGGCAAAAGCTGCACAGAACCTGGGTGGAAGCCTGAAGTGGGTTCTTCTGAAGTGGGGAGCGGTCTTACGGGGCGGAGCCTCTAACTTCGGATGTCTGCATTAACTCCGGTAAGAGTCAGAAATAAACAGAATTTTAGGACACCCGACTTGTGTCCACAGATTAATTATGCAGAAGAGCCCCAGCATCTGGAGGCAGGAGAGAAGCACAGAGAGCACGGAGGGAGCGAGAGGCCTTCCTCCTATTCCCCTGGCAGCTCCCGGTGGGTCAGCCTAGCGTGGGTCTCCCTGGCTTGCATTTTGCTCTTAGTGAGCTTTCACCCACAGACTCTCCGATCTGACCCAGAGCTGTAAGTCTCCACTTGTCCTTGCTGTGTTCAAAGTCAGCCCAGTCTCTCCCCTTTATTGCAGCAGCCTTCTCTCCAGGGAGGTCTTCCTGTGTCAGCTTTAACAAGTGTGAGAGTGGGTTTTAATTAACACATTAAATCGAGAGATTTGCTCCCTTGTGTACGTGCACAGACAAAGGTCAACACACATGCTAAAGGCTAGGCTTGAAGGAAGTCTTGGATGTGAGTAGCCTCTGAGGCTCAATGCCTTTTGCAATTCTAAGTCCTCAGAGGATTGCCAAACCTAATGTCCTTAACGACCAAGGTCATAAGTGCACCAAATGAACATCAGCTGAAGGTTACTAAAGACCTTCCTTAAAGAAAACTGGTTTCTCTGAGATCAGGGCTGGCTTTGAGTAATGGAAGCATAACCACTGGCAGCTCTCCTGAGCACAGCCTTTCTGTTTCAAAGCACTGTCCTAAGCCAAGCGTCCTTGTCACCAACACAGCAGGGTACAGCCCCCTTTCTTGGAATCTGGTATTGTTCTCCTTATGTGGCTTTACAAGTTAAAATTCCCAGGAGGGTCCCCATCCTTAGTGCAGCAGGATCCAGGCATGTAATGAAATTCTGCAAGTCTATTAGCAGGAGGGAAAATGGGGCTTGGGTTGGGGGAAGAAAACACAAAATCTATACTGAACTGGCAGGCACAGAGAGCAGGTACCGGGCCCTAAAGTGAAGCTGTTGTTTGCAAGTGTTGCTGACTGAAAGGAATGAAAACCAATCTACAAGAAGTGCTTAAATATGAAATGTGAGTATGCGAAAGACAATCAGCACTGCAGTATCGCTACAGATCTGCACGAGCATCCCATGCCTGGTCAGCTGTGTGGAACAGCTAGGCACTTTGTGGAGCACAGGCAAGCGCCGTACGGGGGTGGGCATTTGGAGGGCCGCTTATGCAGGAGCAGGAGCTGCCCAGTTATTTCCTCAGTTGGTTTGCCATGATGAATATTCATTCTTGCTTTGGGAAAATACACAACTCTTCACAGTCTCAGAACTTTCCAAGAACACTTCGATTCACTTTGAATGTACGGCCACCGCCAAGGAGTGCAGAGGGCACATTCAGGTGCCCTAGGTCATGTGGGCGCACACGGGAGAGCAGGCCCTAGAGGCAGGTAATGCAAAGTTAGCCCTTCTGTTTGCAGTCACTTCCTCTTGGGTTCCACATAATTAGAGCCACATGTTTTTCTAACATGAATGAATCTAAAGTTGTACATGAAATTTTAAGTATTTGCGTATCCAACCAATTCTTTGTAGCGCCACTGTAATGATTTTAAGGAGGCCTGGTCCTAGTCACTAGCTTTTCTGCCTCCACAAGTTGAAAACATGTCACAGAAGAATTCTTAATGTGCGTGAAACTATCACTGGATTTCTTAATCTTTTATTTATTTATTTTTACAGGGCCTTGCCAAGCAGCTCAGACTCACAGCGATCCTCCTGTCTCAGCCTCCCCAACACTGGGATAACAGCAGTGTGCCACCATGCCCAGTTTTGGACCAGCACAGTATAGTTCTGGGGCCGGCATAGCACACAGTACCGGGGATTGAACCTGGGTCCTTGCTCGTGCCAGGCAGGCACTTGGGTCACCGAGCTATCTCTTCAGCCCCTACTGAACATATTTGTGTTTGAAAAAGGATCATGATATCCCATTGCTTATACATATGTGGTTGTTAACTTTCAAAGAATGACCAATCATTTAGAAATATTTAGAAGCTATCTCTTAATAGTATAATAATAATGTACCCTTAAGTCAAGCTATTGATGTCAATATTAAATTTATATACTCTGGTTTTTAAAATCATAATAACCCCCTGCATAGCATGTGGTACCAGGGATCAGACCTGGGTTCTTGCACTTGCCAGGCAGGTGCTTAGACTGCCCAGGTATCTCTCCAGCCCCTGGATTTCTTATAAAATTGGGTATTTCTTAGTTTTTGTCTAGAAGTTTGCTAAGCTTAATGGTAACAAAAGGAGAAATATCAAGAGATAAGAGTTGAATGAGACTGGAAGAAATACAAGAACTGTTCTACATTTTAAGACAGGCCAGTGTTTAGGTCTTTAGAAAACAAAATTGTACTGCACAGCGGGTTATTTTTCCCCTGGAAGAAATCTGTAGAAAGGAAGAAAAGGATGTAAACCAGAAAGAATTTAAGAAAAGTATGGAAGGAAACAAAGTATTACAAATAATTAAACCATTTTTTCCCCAACTTGGCACTGAAAATGATTGGAAATGAGACAATATTTAATGTGACATTTTAGAGATTCCTGTCAGAACTTTAATAATACTGTCAAATACTAAAAACAACCATGTAGACATACTAGAATATTATACTGAATAGAAATGAATCATATTATGATTCATCCTTTTCAGCTTTTCAGCTGAAAACAGAGTAAATGGAACACACAGTACAAAGTACATGATGCAACAGAGTACAGTGACTTTAAATATTGACTCCTCAGTAATGAAATCCTTGCAGTAACACAGAAAGGTGAAGGGTGATGAGACTGCACTGTAGAAAAACTTAATTCTCAGGAACTACTTTGAATCTGATTCTAAACAAGGTGACCCAAATGCTCCTGACACAACCGCTCACTCAGCCTCCCAGCGCAGAGCTGGGCCCTGTTCTGCGCCGTCTCTCACTTCGGTCTGCTCTTACGCACGCACCTCGCCGTGTCGATGCCGAGGGCTGTCATTGTCTGGCGGCCACCTCGCTGGCGTATCTTTTTCGCTGCAACGAGTATCTCCTCTGTAGACGCATACTTGTTAAGGTTGAACTCGTGAGTTACTTCTTCTCCGTACTGCACAACTCCAACCTGAAACGTCAACCCGTTGTGAGTTCAGAGCCTGGCAAAATTCCCTTTCAGTTTTCTTAAGTTAAATCTATAGGTCAGATGGAACAGATTTTAGTCTTTCTGATGAGTTTAAAGATTTTGTAGGTGGAAATCCTTCTACTTTGATATCCATAACCATGTTCATTCTGTTAAAAGAACAAAACTAAAGATGCTGCTTTTAAATTTCTCAAATGACTGCCTTGTCTTCAATAGAATGTTGAATACAATTTTTACCGAATGATTTTGATAGGCCTAAATAAGAAAACCATGTTATATTTTAATGCTTTGTTTTAGTTCATTTCATAGATTCAGATTATACTAATAGGAATGATAGCATTGCATAAATGAGAAAATTGAGATTAGAATACTCATTCCCATAGTGTAAGAGTAGAAAGGGTTTCAGTCTAACGTACCCCCATCCCAGGCTTTCAGTCAAGCTACTCCCTCTAGAACAACACATGCTCCCCTAAGATCCCCTCGTGCTTTTGTCATCTCGTCCTGGTTGCCTCTACTAAAGCAAAGGAGAAGTTGAGATACATTAGAGTACATGATACCACATACAGATAAATTGATAACTATTTTTTAAACAAGTAGCCTGTATGAGTTTTCATTTGAAGTTGCTTAGTCCAATCTAAGATACACGAGAAAGAACTAGACAGCATATGTAAGGTTAAGATGGGACATAGAATATAAGCGAAACGAACATGTAGCCTGCTGACCCAGGCGTGGCTCAGCCCCATCCGGCCCTACTCATGTCAGCAAACGACTGCTCCATGAATCGCCTCTGCCACTGGCCCCAAGAACTTGACTTACAGTATTTGGAACAAAGATAGACAGAAATCCCTTTGCAAACAAAGTAGGTGAAAAACAACTAATTATAAACAAGTAGGGCCAGGGAGATGGCTCAGTGGAATAAGCGCTTCCCTGGCAAGCGCAAGAGCCTGAGTTCAATCCCTGGTTCCGCAAAAAAAAAAAAAAAAAAAAAAAAGAAATAAACAAGTATAAAATAAAAGAGGAAAGACATGGCCACAGCTTTAGTTCAGGGTATTTCCTTGACATAACTGAGTTTGCTGGACATGGTTAGCATCCTCTGCGTAGACTTAACATTCTTCCTTCAGTGAGCTTATAGCATTTGGTTCATAATCCTGGAAAACACTGAATAATTAATAAGAGGAATCCATGTGGGTTTTGTATTCTCTATGTGTATATAAATGTTCAGCCTAAACAGAAGTGAAATGATCCTGTTACTTAGATAATCAGTCTACTTAATTCTAGGCACCAAGGTAAATAAATATTGCTGTGGAAGTTAATGGCTTATCCATTCAGGATATCTTGTAGCTTGTTTTATTTTTATTTTCCTGTGCTTTTATGTGATTAAGCAGGGAGCTATCAACTGAAAACTTTCCCATCTATCCCTCTAACCTAGTGAACACTTGGAGCGCTCATTTCTCCGAGCGCCTCAGCTTTAGTAGTTGCTTCCTGGAGCTCACCAGCCTTGAGCCTGCCAGCCAAACGAGCTGGAGCACTTCAGACATGCTCTTCTCTTCTCGACAACGTCAGCCCATCCATCTGGCACCTCTCATTCAGCAGCCACACTAAGACTTCTAATCAATGCATCAGTCTTACCCTTTTTCAGCACGTGGTCTAGGTTCTGTGATCTAAACCCTAGAACTACTGATTGCTAATATTTTTGTCCTTTGTGTCTTCCCCCTTCCATTAATTCACTGGATGGTTATTATTTTCAATTCTGGATAAGTTCATCTATCTCCTCCCTGAGTGTGTCTGTGCTGACTAACATTACTACACAAAGCCCACAGAGCTTGTAGACTGGTTTCTCTTTAAAATTATGATCATGTATCTCAAACAGGGTTACACATTTGAACATCTCCCCAAATTCCTACTATTTCTACTAACAAATGCACTTTGTTCCCACTTGTTGATTTTAATCAAATCCTGTTCTAAGCTGTTAGCTCCTCAGGAGATAGAACATGTCTCTCGTACATGGGGAGCAGTTGATGAGTGTTAATACTTTGCACTTACAGGTATACTTTACATGTCTTATAAAACCTGACATAGGGCCCGGCGAGGTAGCTCAGTGGACTAATGTGCCTGCTTAGGCAAGCTTAGGCAAGTGCAGGGACTGCTCTTCGACCCCTGGCACCACATGTGACACCAGCCCTGCTCCTGGGGCGGGCTGAGACAGCCACTGGGGAAGCTGAGACGGGAGGATCACACTGAATCCGAGCTGCCTAGTGAGACCCTGCAATGACCAAATACATTAAAAAATAAAAAATAACCTGACATGAACTATTGGATTATTTAGGAAGATCATGAGCACACTAAGAATAGCAAAACCAGAGATCGGTGCTTTGTATCTCATACGTGTTTACTACTTCTCCAGTTCCCTTCTTAGCATGTGGCCGATTTCTATAAGCTTGTTCTTCCAAAAGCTAAGACAGAAGAGAATTTAAAAGGGCTGGCTCCCACGTTTTTCTAAATTCTTAACTTCTGATTACTCAACAAGATTCCCTTTAGCAAACTCCCCTTGGGCTCTTAAGCTACTTTTGCCCCTTAAGTTTAAGGTGCTGAAAAACCAAGAAGGTTTTATGCCTCCTCACCCCGCACAAAGGAAACGCAAAGCCCACCGCGTGGCTCAGGTTGGGGCTTTCCTTTCAGATAAGCCCAGGCGTCCTTGCTGCCTGGTGTTTGGGCTCAGCTGACTTTCCCAGTCTCTTCCTATTTTCCACAGAGCAGAAGCTGGTTCCTCTCTAAATCACTGGCACACAATTCCTCCCTCTGAGGTTTGTGTCTGGGAACAACTGGGACCTGAGACAGTCCGGCCTGTGATCTCCGCTCGTGAATTCCACCCTGGCTCGGCCAGCGCAACCCAGACCACAGCAGTAGCTGGTCTCTCCCGGCAGTGCCACTCTCCTCAAATTCATCTTGATATTATTAGAAGATTAACCATGGTCTATTGCATTCATAATATAACTTCCCACTCAAAATTCCCATCTACTGACTCTTCACAGCCTAACCAGTGCCTGTGAAATGTACTTTAAAAGGGGAACATTTTTTTCTCATTTTTAAAAGAGAAAAGATAAATCTTTGAGCGGCTCCTTGAAATGCTATGCTCCCTGAAAACATGTTAAAATCCAGCTTTCTCCCCTTGCCTGCCAGCAGTTTAGTCTTCTCTTCTCCACCTAATTTATCCTCTCCAGTGTTACTCTACCTCTACCAAAGGCGCTTCTCTGTCCCTCCATATAAGCCTGCTTCTCGAATCCTGTGAGGTCTAAATTCTGCTTCTTTGCACAAGTGTCCCGAGCTCATTGCCGGCAGGGCCCATGCTATCTCTCATTCTCAGCACCCTGAAGCAGGCGGGTCTGTGGGTGCTGCGTTCCTCTCAGCCGTGCTGTCCCGGACGCGCCACAAGCTCCCAGGTCAGCAGGGCTGGAGCTCGGGGACGGATCACGGCTCATGGCCGATCTTATCCCTTCCCCCTGTTCTGCGGTGCTCACTGCTGACCCACGTTCGTCTCTCATAAATAACTGCTTCACACAGCAAGCAGAAAGCTGAGACAGCAGGAGTGGATGCTAAGCAGCAAGAGCTGGAAAGAAGTGTGGGGGACATGTAGAGTGGGTGGAGAACTCAGGTCGCAGAGAATGACATCCAGAGTAGGGTGCTGCTTGGCAGAGCGGCTGTTTGCTCCCAAGGAAACAGACAGCAAACCAAACTCCTGCTGGGAGTTTCCCCAAATACAGATACCACTGATCGCTTCTAGTAGAAGAGAAGGCTCAGAGCGCAAGCCTAGCTTACGTCTTGCTGCGCGGAGGACTGATGGTGTCCGAGCCGGGTCTGCTTATCATTTATGTGAGCATAGTGTATATACACGTGGTGGAACAAAGTAAGAACGAGAATTAAAGTTAACCAGCAAGCCAGGTCTTGAGGACACACTGTGAGGAGGGGCCAAGAGTCCTCAGCGCTCTCCCACTGCAGGCAGAGGATGGGGCCGGAAGGTCCAGCTTCCGGAAAGAGATCGCCAGGGAAGAAGGAGAAGCGCTACGGGACGGGGAGCGGTCTGACAAGCCTGGGATTTATGTCAAAGGTGACAATGCGAGAACTTTAACATTAGAAATTGGGAGAAAGAAGAGCAAACAGAACCTTTCGTATGTGATGTGACAATGTCAGGTGCACTGCAGAGGCAGGAACACCAGCAGAGGACAGGGATGCGCAGAGAAGATTCTAGGCATTTTCTCACTAGATGGAAAAAAGTAAGCAACGCTCACAGCTGAAAGAAACAGTTTGGTTAGATGCAGACATGCCCAAGGGGAGATGGCAAGAGCGCTGGTAGGACACCAGCAGGATGGATGGCGACAGTGACAGGGAGCTCCTGCGACTCCGAAGGGGACAGTGGTTACCAGAGGAAGGAAGGTGGGGCGGGGCGGGGGGGGCGGGGTTTGAGCTCCTTGAGTAACTAGGAAAGAAGCCGTGACATCCAAGGCCACCGAGACAGGGAGGTGACGTGACTCTGGCCATAGCACGCAGTAGGCACACGAGGCCTATGGATTTATCTCATGAACCTGAGATATACTGCATGTATCCAAATCTTTCACATAAAGATAATGTTACTAGTCATCTGTTAGATAAGCCCTCAACTAATACTGCCTTATTTTTCCCCACAGAGTTCTAGATCCCCTTGTATGGTAATAGGCAACATTTTATCTTAGAAAATAATGAGTAAATAGGGCTGGGGTGATAGCCCAGTGGTGTAAGCACCTACCTAGGCAAGCGCAGCGACCCGGGTTCAACCCCTGGGTTCCATCCCAGGCACCACGTGCTGTCTCAGCCCCACCCCTGGGTGCACTGAGCTGGCCACCAAGATCAGGCGTGGGGTACGTGCCTGTAATCCCGGCACTGGGGAGGCTGAGACAGGAGGATCACTATGAGTCTGAGCTGCACAGTGAGCCCCTGTAGCAAATACATTA